AGAAGAGCTGGTACTATTCCTGCCAAAACTATTCCCAAAAATTGAGGAGGAGGGACTCCTCCCTAACTCATTCTATGAGGCGAAAATCATCCTGATACCAAAACCTGAAAGAATCATAACAAAAAGGAAACTTCAGGCCAACATCCTTGATGAACATTGATGCAAAAATCCTCAACAAAACACTGTCAAACTGAATCCAGAAGCACATCAAAAAGCTTGTCCATCACCATCAAGTAGGCGTTATACCTGGGATGCAAGTTTGGTTCAATATATGCAAATCAATAAATATGATTCATCATATAAACAGAACTGAAGACAAACACAACATGAATTATCTCAATAGGTGCAGAAAAGGCTGTCAATACAATTTAACAACCATTCATGTTAAAAACTCTCAATAAACTGAGTATTGAAGGAACATACCTGAAAATAATAAGAGCCATCTATGACAAATCCACAACCAACATCATACTCCATGGGCAAAACCCAGAGGCATTCCTCTTGAAAACCAGCAAAAGACAAGGATCCCCTCTCTCACTACTCTTACTTGACATAGTATTCAAAGTCCTGGCCAGAGCAATCAGGCAAGAGAAAGAAATAAAACATATACAAACAAGAAGAGAGGAAGTCAAACTAGCCCTGTTTGCAGACGACATGATGCTATATCTAGAAAACCCAACAGTCCTGGCCCAAAAGCTTCTTAAGCTGATAAACAACTTCAGCAAAGTCTCAGGATACAAAATCAATATGCAAAAATCACTAGCACTTCTATATAACACCAATCAAGCTGAGAGCCAAATCCCATTCACAATTGCCCCTCACACACACACCCCTGGGAATACAGCTAACGAGGGAGGTAAAAGATCTTTACAAGTAGAACTACAAAATAAATCAGAGATGACAAACAAATGGAAAAACATTCCATGCTCATGGGTAGGAAGAATCAATATCATTAAAATGGCCATACTATCCAAAGCAATGTATAGATTTGATGCTATTCCTATTAAACTACCAATGACATTCTTCACATGGCTAGAAAAAACTATTTTTAAATTCCTATGGAACCAAAAGGGAGTCCAAATAGCCAAGGCAATTCTAAGCCAAAAGAATAAAGCTGGAGGCATCATGCTACCTGACTTCAAACTATAATACAGGACTACAGTAACCAAAACAGCATGGTACTGGTACAAAAACAGACACATAGACCAATGGAACAGAATAGATAACCCAGAAATAAGACCATGCATCTACTACTATCTGATCTTTGACAAAGCTGACAAAAACAAGCACTGAGGAAGACTCCCTATTCAACAAATGGTGCTGGGATTACTGGTTAGCCATGTGCAGAAGATTGAAGCTGTACCCCTCCCTTACACCATACACAAAAATTAACTCAAGATGGGTTAAAGACTTAAATATGAAACCCAAACTATAAAAAATCCTAGAAGACAACCTAGGCAATACCATTCTGGACATAGGAATGGGCAAATATTTCATGATGAAGATGCCAAAAGCAATTGCAACAAAAGCAAAAGTTGACAAATGGGATCTAATTAAACTAAAGAGCTTCTGCATACCAAAATAAACGATCAACAGAGTAAACAGAAAACCTACACAATGAGAGAAAATTTTTGCAAACTATACATCTGACAAAGGTCTAATATCCAGCATTTATAAGAAGCTTAAACAAATTTACGAGAAAAAATCAAACAACCCCATTAAAAAGTGGGCAAAGGAAATAAACAGATGCTTTTCAAAAGAAGACATACATGTGGACAACAATCATATAAAAAAATGTTCAGCATCATGAATCATTAGGGAAATGTAAATCAAAACCACAATGAGATACCATCATCACTATTATCAAAAAGTAAAACAACAACAACAACAACAACAACAAACCCATGCTAACAAGGTTGCAGAGAAAAAGAACACTAATACACTGTTGGTGGGAGTGTAAATTAGTTCAACTATTGTGGAAGACAGTATGGCAATTCCTCAGACTTAAAAACAGAATAACATTCAACCCAGCAATCCCATTACTGATTATATACCCAAAGGAATATAAATCATTCTATCAAAAAGACACATACATGTGTAAGTGCATTGCAGCAATATACACAATAGCAAAGACATGGAATCAACCTAAATGCCCATCAATGGTAGTCTGGATAAAGAAAATGTGGTACATATACACCATGAAATACTATGCAGCCATAAAAAGGAATGAGATTATGTCCTTTGCAGGAACATGAATGGAGCTGGAGGCCACTATCCTAAGTGAATTAATACAGGAACAGAAAACCAAATACTGGGTGTTCTCATTTATAAGTGGGAGCTAAATGATGAGAACACATGGACACATAGAGGGAAACAACACACACTGGAGCCTATCAGAAATAACATACACAGGAGGGTGAGAGGAGGGAAAGGATCAGGAAAAATAACTAATGGGTACTAGGCTTAATACCTGGGTATTGAAATAATCTGTACAACAAACTATGACAGAAATTTACCTATATAACAAACTTGCACATGTACCTCTGAACTTAAAAGTTAAATTAAGGCCGGGCACGGTGGCTCATGCCTGTAATCCCAGCACTTTGGGAGGTCGAGGTGGGCGGATCACGAGGTCAGGAGATCGAGACCATCCTGGCTAACATGGTGAAACCTCATCTCTACTAAAAATACAAAACATTAGCGGGGTGTGGTGGTGGGTGCATGTGGTCCCAGCTACTCGGGAGGCTGAGGCAGGGGAATGGCATGAATCCAGAAGGCAGAGCTTGCAGTGAGCGGAGATCACGCCACTGCACTCCAGCCAGGGTGATGGAGTGAGACTCCGTCTCAAAAAAAAAGTTAAATAATAATAAAAAAAATCTCTGAATAATTTGTTTTCATTTTTAAAACTTTGTTGCAGGATATCTGACAAAAATTGGTGAACTGTATGGTATGTGAATTTTAGTGAAGCTGTTTATAAAAATCAGAATAGTGGCTATTTGATAAAAAGGGTAGAAGACAACTTTCTGGACATGCTGGGAAAGTTCTATATCTTGATCTAGGTAATACCAACATAAATATATGTACATATTAGTCCAAATAAATCAAGCTATCCATTTATAATTTGTGTACTTACTCTTATGACAATTATACCTCAATAAAATATGTTACTGTAAAAAAATTACAAGGTAATTTCACATTTCTTTCCAAAGTGCTTTTAGCAATTCACACTCACAAGAATACTGTATTAAAATTCCCATGCTCAACATCTTACCAACTGTAATACTGATAATCAGATGGACTAAACATAGAACTTCACTGTGGTTTTAATTATCAGTCTCTTATTGTTAATGAGGATGGTCATATTTTTCTTTATTTCTGATATTCATGTTTTAGAAAAATGGTCTTTTTATACCATTTGCCCAATGTTTCACTGATTTGACATTTTCTTATCTCTTTCTTATCACATACATGTGTTATAATAATCTAGAATGGAGTCTTGTTCTTTCTCTTGTTATGGTGTATTCCCATAATCTGAAAATTTACGGCATAGTCAAAACTAAAGATATTTAACCACAGAATTTATGGAGTGTTTTTCTCTTTTAAAATAAATGCTTTTCTGACACAAATTGTTAAGTTTTTCTCCTATGTTGTACTCAATACTCAGAAGTGTGTATGTGTGTGTGTGTGCATGCTCATGTGTGTATTATCAGGTAGAAATCCAGTTTTATTTCAACATTTTTCTTTATTTTTCCATAAAGGTAATCTATTTTGTTTTTACCATTCATGCATGCATAATTTCTGGATTCTTTTTTTCATTAATAATTTTTTTTCTGGCTGGGCATGGTGGCTCACACCTGTAAAATCAGCACTTTGGGAGACTGAGGCAGGCGGATCACCTGAGGTCAGGAGTTTGGGACCAGCCTGGTCAACATGGTGAAACCCCATCTCTACTAAAAATACAAAAATTAGCCAGGTGTGGTGGTACGTGCCTGTAATCCCAGTTACCTGGGAGGCTAAGACAGGAGAAAGGGTGGAACCTGGGAGGCCAAGGCTGCAGTGAGCTGAGATCACACCACCATACTCCAGTCTGGGCAACAGAGCAAGATCCCTTCTCAAAAATAAAGAAAAAATAATAATAATAAGATTTTTTTTCTACTTTTATACCACTAATACACTGTCTTACTATTTATTGCTTTATAATGAACCTTAATGTCTACAAGGGCAAAAAAAAACCATTATTTGTTTAGATTCCTAGTAAACTATAAGGTAAAATCATGATATTTTTTAATAGCAAATATGTAAAGATGAGGGTTTTTATCTTTAATTTCCTCAGATGCTTTGTATTGTGTCAAATTAGTCAAAAGCAAGTTGAATCATGCATACTTTTATTTTCCAAATTAATGTATTCAGGTGAAAATTATTTGCCCTTAATAGCATATTATTTTACATTTCTGTTCACCATTCATCTAAACAATAATGATTATAGAAGTCCACAGGCGGCACCACAACACATTAAGAATTTAATTTACTCTGACTTTCAGTTTTGCATATTTTCAGTTTGTTTTTTTTTAACTTGACTCTTGATAACCGCGAATAGGAAGTCAGAGAGGTTTGGAAAGACAATTATTTCCATTGTGTTTTATTCTATTCTGAGGGGTCTTTGATGTCTAAGAATGGGCAGCCTCTTTGACTACACAGCTGCTTTCTAGCCATTAATTGGGTATCATGTTCTTAGTGGAATGAGAACAATCTGGAAGAACCCTGGCCCAGATTTAAATAGGAGTGAATGCTTGCATTGTTTGAACACATTCACATATTTGAACATCTTTGAATGAGGGCGTTATCTCTAGTTATCTATTGATGATTTGTATTTACTAAATTTTATAGTTCTTATTCTTCAGCTGTTTTGAGTATTGAGAGTAAATTATGGAAATATGAATATAGTGTAAGTTTAAAAAATGGTCCCATAAAACATTGAAATCTAAATAATTAAGACTTACCTCTATTTCTTTTCTTAATTTTTCATGTGTCTTTTTTTCTTCCTCAAGAAAACAAGTTTTCTCAATGATAGATTCTTTTACAGTTAAAATTTTATCCTTTAACTTTGTAATATCTTCCTGTATGTTGACAACATTTGAAATATAGAAGTCAAAAAAGGATGATCAATATAAATCCAATATTTCAGTGTTTCTCTAATTTAAGAAAACTAGCCAAATCAAAATTTAGTTTTGATAAATAGTATTAGAATATTACTTCTATAGGTATACAAAAATAACGAACTGTTACTTAAAGAAAATGTAAAGAAACCTTACATTTGAAACAGAACTAAAAACCAAATGAAATAAGACAAAAAGGAAAGTGGTACTTATGGTGGCAATTGCCCAACAACAGTGTAAAAGACACTTTTTAATTCTCTAGCAAGAAATGATCAATATTTTAAGTTGGTGTCTTCTATCGTCTTTAAATAACAGAGAAACAGTAAGATGCTTAAGGTTCAATTATTAATTTAGATTGCTTGCATAACAGCGTTAAGTGTACTAAATTGATTTGAATTGGTCTGGATCCATTGGCATAGAAGCTAAGGCTTCAACATTTTTGTGAATTACATTTTCTACAACAATGGACAATGGATTATAGATTAATTCTTCACTGTGATTTTATTTGACCATGTATTTTTATAAATCCAGGGGATTTGTGGATGTTTCCTTTACGCATTTGAGCATCTAAGGTAGTTGTTATATAACACATGTACTTATTCCAAGTTTTTTTCAATTGTGACAATAGTTTCTGAATGTAATAGAACAGCTATGGGCATTTTATTAACTTCACAATAAATTTACCATTTAATGTATGTACTTGCAAAAAAGGAGTTATAGAAAAAATAGTTTTACTAAGTAATTTTCCACACCTGTACTTGTGTTATTCGGTTCCCTCCTGGATTTTGAAGATCTTGCATAAGTTCTTCTTTCATCGTCTTTAATTTTTTAACAAAATCTCGTTTTTCATGGAGTTCGGTCATAAATGACCATTTGCTTTCTACTTCTCCCAAACTATTTTTATGTGCTTTTATTTTTGCATAATATGCATTATATTTTATCATGTGTTCCTCAAAATCTTCTTGGGCTGTTTCTATGTCAAATTTAAGCTTTACATTTTCTGAATGTAAGGATTTGATTTGAGTTTCCAGGCTATCACAGTGAAGTTTGGTATTCTGTATGGCAGCATCTTGTTGATAAATTTGTCTTTCTGTTCCTTTAGTTTCTGCAGAGATAGCTGCTATTTGTTTTTCAAGCTCATGAAGTTCATTCTGTAATATATTTTAACATTATCATTATTTATTCAAAATTTTAAACATGAGAAGAAAATCAATGTTTTAATCCATATGAATATAGGAAAAATCACTCATAAAAATATATTTATCAGATATTAAAAATTGATGAATAAAAGGAAACATGCAATAAACACTATTTTATAATTTCAGAAGGAATCTCAGTTACATATTTTTTAATGTTCATCTAATTCTAAATATTAAAATCTCATGTTTTATCTTGACATTTTATATATGTAAGATACTTTATAATAATTTTACTAATTTATTTACAGGCATCAGAAGTACACACTCAGGAAAGACAATATGATAAAAAATGATAAAGCCCTGAGTTAACAATCAAAAGATCTAGGTTCTAACACCCTTATTGCTATTTACTAGTTTGTATGATCATGCATAACAAACTTTGTTACCCCATTCAAACTACATTTTTCTCCATTTGTAAAATGAGTATAAAGATATTTACTTTGCCTCCCTGGGGCATTTTGCATTCCTAACTGCTGCCTTCTTTTTAAAGCCTAGTTTTCACACCACCAGTCTTTTCCGGTTCTCCTTAGAAATTTCTGAGAATTCCTTCTCAATCTCAACAGTTCCTTCAAATATAGGTCTTCATCATAATTTCCTCTTCTCACTCTCTATATATGCTCCTTGGGTAATTTCATCCAAATTTACATATTCAGCTACATATCTGCTGATGATTCACAGAATGTAAGTGGCTGCTGAGTTCTACACCCAGCCGCCACTGGCCACCTCAAATTCACCATATCCAAAACTTGAATGAATCCTTTCTACAACACAGCCAATTACTCCTTGTATCAATTATCTGTTGCCAGAACTACAAAACCTCAGTAGCATACAATAATACATAAGTATATACTGCTGACATGACTAGGAGCAGCTGAGGTTGTCTAAGTAGTTCATAAGCCTGGGAGAAGCAAGGGTTGGCTAGGTGGTTCTGCTGATCTTGGTTGAATCTGCCCAAGTGTCTGGGGATTGGCTGATTGTAAGATGATTTAAATTGGCTTTAACTGGGCTGACAGGGGTGTCTTGGCTTTGCTTTATATGTATCTTCTCCTCCAATGGGCCAACCCAGGCATGTCATGATAATAGTAGATGCAGAAGAGTGAAATTCAGTTATGGAAGAGTTTTTTAAAGCTTTTGTTTGAGTCATATCTGATAACACCCCAGCTAGTCACATAATCAAACCCAGAGTCAAGGGGTGGAAGTGTGTCCATCCATTATGGGAAAGCATTATAATATATGGCAAAGGGTACGGATAGACTAAGGGATGAAAAATTGGGACCAAAAATGCAAATGATCACACTCCTATGTTCCCCAACTTAGTTAATGGTAAGGTGAGAACCTCTGATTTTATAGCCAATTAGTCAGAAGTATGGGTAGCCTGGGACTTGTGACTGGCACATGAAGCAGGGGCAGTCTTATGGGACTGAACCCTTTATCTTCTGGGAGCTGATGCTAATTCCAGATAGATACAGTAGTCCCTCCTTATCTAGGCGGAATATGTTCCAAGACCTCCGTGAATGCCTGAAACCATGGACAGTACTGAACTCTATATATACTATGTTTTTTTTTCCTATACATACATACCTATGATAAAGTTTAACATATAAATTAGGCACAATAAGATAATAACAACGGAATAATTATAATGATATACTATAAGTTATGTGAATGTGGTCCCTCTCTCCTATCTTATTGTACTGTACTCAGATGGCAGCAGCTTCTTTATTGGCAGATTTGGTCTCTCCTTAATTTTTATATTTTTCAGTCCAAACCTGTTTCTGAATCTGTGTGACCATCCCTTACTTAGTGTCACTTATTTCAGAAAATCCCTTGCTGAGGTCTTCATATAGACTTAGTGCCTTCTGGAGCAACATGTGGCCGTTATTTGGAACATGTTTTCTGTTCATGTCTTCCACCCAGAAATTTAATGTCTTTTTCATCTTAACTAAGCACTATTACACACTGTGTCCATAACTTCTGCAGTTTGAGGTGCAACAGCAAAATTAACAGGAATTTCTTTTTCTCTTTTTTTTGGAGATGGAATCTCTGAGTCTTGTTCTGTTGCCCAGGCTGGAGTGCAGTGGTGTGATCTCAGCTCACTGCAACCTCTGCCTCCCAGGTTCAAGTGATTGGCCAGCCTCAGCCTTCCAAGTAGCTGGGATTACAGGCGTGCACCACCATGCCTGGCTGTTTTGTATTTTTAGTAGAGACAGGGTTTCACCATATTGGCCAGGCTGGTCTCGAACTCCCGACCTCAAGTTATCCATCTGCCTCGGCCTCCCAAAGTGCTGGGATTACAGGAGTGAGCCACCACGCCCAGCCAGGAATTTATTTTTCCTTCTTTACAACTTCACAGATGGATGATTTGTCCTTACCATAGATTTTAGCAACTTCAGTGTATGATATTTTTCTTTCCTTTAAGTTGAGAACTTTCACCTTCTCACTTAAAGTAAGTACTTTACAGCTTCTCTTTGACATATCTGAATTGCCAGCATCACTACGCTGATACTTTGGGGCCATTAAGTAAAATAAGGTTTAGTTAAACATAAGCACTGTGATACTGCCACAATCAATCTGATAACTGAGACGACTACTAAGTAACTAAAGAATGGGTAGCTCATATGGCATAGATGTGCTGGACAAAAGGATGACTCATGTCCCAGGCAGGATGGAGCAGGACAGTGCGAGATTTCATCATGCTACTCAGAATGACTTGCAATTTTAAATTTACAAATTGTTTATTTCTGTAATCTTCCATTTAATACTTTTAGAATTCAGCTCACTGTGGCTAACTGAAACTGCAAAAGCAAAACTGCAAATAAGGGAAAACTGTTGTAGTGTCAGAACAGAATCCAATCATTGGACACACAGTTGGCATCCAGAGAATCAGAAAATTGGTTGTTAGTGTTAGAAAATGTCCCAGGTAGTGTAAGATTTCCAACGCTTTTCTTCTTCAAAATTGTTTTGGATATTCTAAGTCCTTTGCATTTCCATATGACTTTTAGAATTAGCCTATGTATTTCTCTCCCAAAAGCCTCCTGAAATTTTGACTGGGACTGCGTTTCATGTATAAATAAAACTGAGAGAACTAACATATTAGCAATACTGAGTCTTCTGTTTCATAAAAATGACATACCTCTACATTTAAGCCTTCTTTAATTTTTCTCACCAATGTTTTACAGTGTTCAGCATACTGGTCTTTAAACCTTTTGTTAAATTTGCCCCTAAGTATTGAATAGTTTTGATGGTATTGTAAGTAGTATTGCTTTTGAAGTTTTAATTTCTGATTTTCTCTTGCCAATGTGTAGAAATACACTATATTTTTGTATATTAATCTTGTGCCCTGCAATCTTTCTAACCTCACTTATTAGTTCTAGTAGCTTTTTATAGCTTCCTTGGGATTTTATTTAAATAAAAAATAATGTCATCTGTGAATAAAAACAGCTTTACTTCTTTCTTTCTAAACTGAATGAGTTTTTTTTCTTTTACTTGCATAGCTATACTGGCTTGAACCACCAGTACCATCTTGAATAGAAGTAAGAGGAGACATATTTGTCTTGTTCCTGATCTTAGGAGAAAAACATTCATTATTTCACCATTAAGTATGTGGTTGGTTAGAGAATTTATGTAGCTGTTCTTCCTTAGATTAAGGAAGTTCCCTTTTATTTCCAATTAGCTGAGAGTTTTTATCATGAATGGATATTGGATTATAATAAGTGCTTTTTATGTATCTAGAATTCTTTCTAAAATATAAATTTAATTATTTGCTTCTTGCTTAAAATCTGTCAAATGCTTCTCATCAACTTTAGAATAAAGTTGAAGTTTCTTATCGTGGTATATATCTTCCATGATTTTTCAAAACGTACTGTAATTTATTTTACCATCAAACTATTTATGGTTCTAGGAATGTACCAATGCTATTTCAGGCCTCTGCAAATATCCTCTGTGAATATCCTTAGGTCCTTTTTATTTTGAATATTATCTTCCTTACTCCCTAACCTTTAAACTTGTCCTAGATACCTAATCATTCAGATGAACTCCAGCTGCCATTTAAAACTCAACTGAAACATCATTTATTTTGGGATCACTCTCTCTCTAGTGTTAAATCTGTGTTGCGTTCATGCCTCTATCATTGACACTACTACTCTGCATGTAATTATTTGTTTACTTCTTTGTCTTCCCAACAGATGGTAAGTAACATGAGAGAGAAGACAATGTTCAGCAAAATGCTTAACACAAAGTAGGCTCTCAATAAGTAAGTCTCACAAAGTAAGTCTCAATGTAAGACTGAAAAGTTTTACAAAATAATTTCTTTACAAAACTATGACATTAGTTTTTAAATTACATTCTACTGTATAGCTGTATTCCTTTCTAGAAGTGACTAACATAATACAAATATTAATAAGAAATTCATATCACCATAATACAATTATTGTCATCATGTATCTGCTGATGCACTTAAAGCCAATGATACTTAAAGCCAATGTCAAATAGGGCCCTACCAGTACCATGTCCACCTGGTCCCCACCAAACACATTAACTCATTTAATCCTCATGAAAAGCTTATGGGCACGTCCTATTGTTATCTCTATTTTACAACTAAGGAAACAGGAGCACAACAAATTCAATCACGGAACAAGAAGTAGTAAATCTGGCCATTTGAACTAGGCGGTTCAGCTCCTGAGCCTATTCTTCTCATTTCTTTTTTTTTTTTTTTTTTTTTTTTGAGACGAGTCTCGCTCTGTGCCCAAGCTGGAGTGCAGTGACGCGATCCTGGCTCACTGCAAGCTCCGCCTCCTGGGTTTCACGCCATTCTCCTGCCTCAGCCTCCCGAGGTAGCTGGGAACTACATGCGGCCGCCACGCCGCGCCCGGCTCGGTTTTTTTTTTGTATTTTTAGTAGAGACGGGGGTTTCACCATGGTCTCGATCTCCTGACCTTGTGATTGTCCGCCTCGGCCTCCCAAAGTGCTGGGATTACAGGCGTGAGCCACCGCGCCCGGCCTATTCTTCTCATTTCTATGATATATTTAATAACAATCGTTACAGAGCACAAGATACTGTTTTCATTTTCATTTCTTTAGTCATATTCACATAGCATAGTTATATCTAATTATGTTGCATGCGAAGACCAAGTATGGCTCCCATATTCCCTGTAGTAGGATTATAAATATATTTAAAAAGGAAAGGAACATAGAGGGAGGCTACTTGAAATGTTCACTGACAACAAATAACTCACAATTCATAGCTTTACAAACACTGGCTTAAAACTTAACATTCCTTCAATTCAGCATTTTAGGAAAAACTATCAAATAAGAGAATGTAAAATAATTCTATCTAACATGTTAGGTTTTATATGCTTATCCTACAGTTGCAATGACACTGTTGAATCTTTATATGTTGGGAGTGTAAAATTTTCCATAAAACTGGAATACTCTCCCTAAGTAAACTCTACTTAGGGAGAACAGAATAATTGACAGAGAATAACTTTAAAAGTGACTCCCAATAATAAGTATTTTTAACAACCTCCTGGTCATTCACTTTTAAAGAAAGTAAAGACATTTAAAAGACTATATAAAGAAGTTACCTTCAAATTGAACAGAACTTTTTTGTTTTTTTCTATCTCTGATGCTTGTGATTGTTGTTGCTTTGCAACTTTCTCTACAGCATCAGCTAACGAACTTGTGTCTTGGTTATCTACAATTAGACAAAAGAATAAAGTATATAATAAAAATTAAAATACAGCTATTTTAAGAAAGTTATGTTTCTTTATTCAAAATCATTAAATATTTGATGCTTTTGCCTCTAAACTAAATTTAGAATTAGGAATTTTCCCTTGCTGATATAAACAAAACCAAAAGTAAAGGCAACAATAACAGGCAATTCAAAGTTGCCTACTGCAATGTTATACCTGTTCCTTTATGGAACAGTATAAATATTTTGATTGTCCTAATTTTTTTATCCAGACCACTTGCACATATACCATAATTATAGTGCTACCATAACAGCTCTATAGCAATTACAGTTGATGCATTCTCATTACAATTCTGTATTTTCAGGTTAGTATGCCTTTTTTAAACACCGTATATGTTTGTCCCGGCTAAATGTAACTGCTTCCATCTATTCTAATTTGCTATCAATTTTAACACAATTATCCTACCAGACTACTTTTTTTGTTGTTGCTGATCTTTTAATTATTCATTTCTTAAGACTGTTTCATCACCTTTTTTAGGAAATCCTTGACTCTTCCTTTCTTTGTTGTCTGACATTTTCTGTGTCTGTAATCTCCTCTTTTCCCCTTTTTGATTTACCTTCTTTACTCCTACTCAATAATCTATATTGATAATCTTTCACTTTTGTTTTTTCCTGTTGTATACTGGTGACCCTGAAAGGTAAATTAATTGTCAAACATGTCACAGGGATGTCAATGACATTTCACCATTAGTGCCAAGAATTAGAATACAACGGTTAAGTGATTTTGGAATGAAAGAAGAACTGTATTTGAATTTTGCTTCTTCTGCTTTTCCACTGTTGTGACCTTGAGTAAGTTTCTTAACTTCTTTGATCCTCAGTACCTCATCTTTAAAACTTCATAAGGCTGTTCTAATAACTAAAGTAATATATATAGCATGCTTAGACTAGTACCTGATATACACTGCATAATTATTTTGGGTTAGTATTAATAGTATGTAACTCCAGTACTATGAGGAAATAGATTCTGAGACTATAACCAGAATCTGTGAGAAATGATATCAACAATGATTAACAACTTCTTCTATGGTTGTGGAATCCAGGGAATATAGCACTCCTGTCCAGTGCTATTCTGGACACAGTAAGCCCTAAGCAAATTTTGATCTACTCTTCATTTAGGAGTAACGATAGGAGGAATAAGTATTTTTCTCCTTAAATCACTAAATACCTTTCTAAAGATCAATTAACTACAAAGATCCATGTACTAGTTACATGTGTCTAAAAAAATTTAAAGGATTGAAACCTGATATATATGCAACAAAAAAGACAAGCAAAGTTAAATCGTTTCCTGTGTAGAGATCAAATCTATCTAGAAATATACATCCAAGCTAAAGAAATCATGAGGGCTTACCTAGCAGATTATCATAACCATTCCTTGCAATTTATAATTCTTTCCTGTTCCTTCATGTCACTTCCTTCAACTCTCACTTCAAACCTACTCCTTCATGAAGTCTTCCCTGAAGCTGAGCCATTTACTCCGTTCACGTTACATACTTTTTGCTCAACACACAGAAATGTCCCAGATTAGTGCTAATGAATCCAAACCTGATTTTCTCTCTAGCGCTTTCATTTGGGTTTCACTGTCACAGACTTCATCCTTAAATATATCTACCTTGAAAAATGCATGCCCTCTACATTTATACTTTCAGTATATACTGTCAGTTCTCTCAATTAATTACAATGGTAAAAACTTATACTTACTTTGTGCTAGTCACTGTTGTTCCAAGTGCTTTAGATTAAAAAAAATATATATATAGTGTTTATTCTGTGCCAGATGGTATTCAAAGAACTTTACAAATAGTAACTCATTTAACCCTATAAGGTAGATATTATTACAATTTTCATTTTACGAAAAAAAGTACAGTGAGGTACACAAATAGATATAAGAATTTATCCAAAGAGAGCCATTAAATGTAAGACATGTGATTTGAATTCAAGTATTTTGTTCCAAAGTTCATGCTCTTAATGCTAGACTATGATAGACTACCAAGATTATGACTTTCTATGGGAAGAATTATGTCTTCCATATATCACTCCAGAATAAAACTAGAGTCATCCCACAGTATATGCAGGGGATTGGTTCCAAGTCACCCCCTTCCCCACTTCATATCAAAATCTGTGCATATTCAAGTACCAAAGTCAGTGCTTCAGAACCCACTTACATGAAAACTTGGCCCTCCTTACATGGGGATTTCAAGTCCCGCATATACTGTATATTTGATCCGAGTTTGGCTGAAAATACCCACGGGTAAGTGAACCTGCACAGTTCAAACCCGTGTTGTTCAAGGGTCCACTACATTTTGTATTCCTATGATGCTAAAACATCACTTTAATCAACTTACTCTTTCTATTCCCACTACTACCATCTACATTTCTTCTTTGGGAAACTATTCTGGTAAAGTGCATTTACAGAGCTGCTGCAGCTCCAACAGGCCTCCAATTGCCTAAGGAGACAATTTGCATGCCTGAAGAGGTAATCCAATGAGTTCTTCATGCTCTCACCTAGCAGTAAATTCCTGTTAGGTAACTTACCTTCCTGGTGAGTCCCCATTTCTCTCTCCCCCAAATCACAGTGCCATTTCCATAAGCTGCCTAAAATATTGTGGGCATAATTCCCATTAAATTCTACCTCCCTATTAACTTCAGTCTTCAGAAGAAGCCAGGTCATTCTTCATCATGAGAACCCATCCTTATTCAACTTGGTAAGCCCCTTAGTGTGATGCTGTATTACCCACTCCCCAACCCTTTTCTATCCTTCCACTTTGACTTCTGAAATTCATGGGCCATCTTCAGCAAAGTCCTTTCTATTGTCAACCTTTTCAGTGAACTTCCCTTTTACCTTTTGGCTTTAACTGAAGTCCAAAGATACAGCTTCCTCATTCTCAAGGCACTAAGTCTGGAGATGAAACATTTTTTTTTTTTTCTGTTCTCCATTCCACTGCCACCATATTTCATTTTCTTCTCTCTAAAACCCTCTCTGGTTCCTTTGAAATTCAGGCCATATACTACATAGGCTTTATCTTTCCTTGTTGTTATCAGCTGTCATCCAGGTCTTGGAAGGCTCATTCCTAGATTATAGCATCTGACTTACTGTTCCTCTATCACTACTCTCTCGTATTTCCTTGGGAATTTCAATATCCACACAAATGGTATATCTAAAACCCTGAACTCTCAGTTGTTTCGAGGTCTTCTTTCATTTATTCTCCCCAGCAACCCATAGAGTATAACTGTACCTCATCCATAATCTCAGATTCAAACTACTGTTTATTTTTCTAGCTTATCCTATCTAGTATTTTGACATTATGTGCTGTTTTTCACCCCGCAAGACTTCCAGTCCATCGACTCTTGTATCTTTACACATTCCCTCAACCCTTCATATATTCTTCCCTCCTTACTTCGCTTAGATTCCTTTGCTTTCACCCTCATTTCCCTTACAGCTCACTCCCTGTCCTAATTCCCTGGAAGAATCCCAACCAGCTGCTTTGCTTATACTCAAGTAGCTGAATATGCTTAAAGAAAGACATACAACTATGCTGTTGACTCACTTTAAATTCAAGACCATTTTATGTCAAGTGGGACTTTGATCCTAGGCTCTTAAGATGCACCAAGTTATGTAGATGACTGTTTCACTCTTTATCCTCTGTCTTCAAACCTCCCACACCTCTTTTCCCTTCCTTTGAGTTGATAATTTACCTTCTAATTTAACTGAGATAGAAGAAAAAAATCAGAGAAGATGGTAAATTACCCATCTACCAGATTTTGTACCTGTACCTGTATACCAGCATACTGTTTTCTTGCAATAAATAAAGTGTTCTTGCTCCTATCTAAGGCCAGTCCTCTACTTTTGTACTCCCTTCTCATAGACATTACTTCTTTGAATGGCCCCTCAATAGAATTTCCCTATTTACTTGGTCAAACGTATTATTCTTAACAGCCCATCATAAATCAACAACCACTACCACCACCACCCTTGCTTGACACCATAACCTTCTTCAGTACTGACCCATTTCTTTGCTCCCCTTTAAAGCCAAGATCCTTGCTCTCCACTTCCTCTCCTCTTTCTTCTTGAACCCACTAGAACCAGTCATTTATCACTGTGCTTTTAAGATTTTTATCACGGTATCTGTGAGCTCCACATTGCCACATTCAATGCACAAGTTCCGTCTTCATTTTACTTGACTTATTGACATCATTTAACACATTTGATAATTACTGCCTTCTTGAAACACCATACTTCTTGGTTTCCTTTGTTGGTCCTTTCTCGTCTTTTCCACTTATGTTATACCTCCCAGTGCTCAGTCCTCAGGCTTCCTTCTTTTCTCATACTTATTCTACATGTGATGCCATCTTGTTCTACGGCTTTAAAATCCACCTGTAGGCTGACAATTCCCAAATTATATCTCTACCCTGAACATTCCTGTTGAGATGCAGACTCATACTCATTGCCTACCTGATATCTCCATTTGGATTTTTAATAGACATTTCAACTCAGTATGTCCCAAACTGAACTCTTGATTCCTCTGTCCACTCTATTACCACCACTAAACCTGCACCTTCACAGTCTTCTCTATCTCGGTAAATTATAAGTTCATTTTTCTTGTTCTTTAGGCCAAAAACCCTGAATTCATTAGCAGGGAGGTCTCTACAAGGGTATAGAGCCCAAGGCAATTCAACTAGACTTGCCCAAGGTAATAATAAAGGATATCTTATTGTTGATGTTTCATAGGCCCTTTGAGAAATCCTTAACACTCCAAGGGTGCTGCCCCGATTGACCTACTCAAAAGATGAGCCAGAACCTTCACTGTTTTTCCATTACGAGCTGCATGCAGTTCTTTTGGCAAAGCCTATTGGCTCTACCTTTAAATTATACTGGAATCTAATCACTCCTTACTAATTCGAAATACTATCTTAGTAGAGAAGCCTTCTCTGATAACTCTCTCTTTCACCCTCTGTTTCCTTGCCCTGCCTCATTTTTCTTGACAGCATCTATCACCACTGACATCTCCATATCCTTCTACTAATGTAAGCTCCATGACGGCAGAGGTCTACAAGTGCCTGGCATATAACAGGTGTCTAATTATAGTCTATCTCCACTCCAATTTGCCCTTTTCTAACAGAATGATGCTCCAAAAGCACTATTCTGATGATGTCAACATCACAGCCAATCTTTCAATTCCATTTAGATGGCTTTTTCTTTAGGAGGTCTTTCTTGATCTTTCTGGGAAGATATGGTCTTTCTCTTTTTAGAAGAATTGTTTCAGTATTTCTATTATGCCATTTTAAATAAAGGTATAGGTCTAAAGACAGAGCTAGTTTTGAATCTAAATTACACTACTTATTAACTTATTAGGAAAATTATTTCCAACCTGGGCCACAGACTCCTTACCCATAAAATGGAAATAATATTAGTGCCTGCTTCATTAGGGTGATTGTGAAGACTAAATGAAATAATGCATGTTAAGCATTTAGCAGATTCCTGTCCCACAATGAATACTCAACAGATTTTTATTTTTATTATTTTCATTATTTTATAGTATCTTTCCACATTAGATTGTAAGCACCGGGAAGGCAAATACAGTGTTTTATTCATTTTTGTATTCCTTAAAGTATTTGATAAAGTAACCTAAAGAATAAAGAAAATTTGATTTATACAATAAAAATAAAGTAACTAGTACTTTTTGATCTCTATTTCTATAGCAACATAAATTGAAGAACTCTTGGATAATATTTATTTAAACCAACTATTCATAAAATTCATGCCGTAAAATTGGAAAAGTTTTGGGTTTTTTCCCAGATTTCTATTGTGCAATGAAAAGAAAAATGAAAACAAATTACTGCCATCTACCGATAATTCATTAGAATTGCATAAATTAAGGAAACAGTCTTTTAGAGACAAGACTGTCTTTTCAAATACGTTTTTAAGATAAGTTAGAACATCATCAGAGTCATCCAAAAATAATTAATTGAATAATTAAAAATAAACTGTATACCTATCATATACCCATACCGCTGAATCTGCTGACACTAGGGATTACTTCCTTTTCTGGTCAGGCAATGAGATTAGAGTTTCTGGGCACTGAAAAAGAAAGAAACCAGAGGGTTTGTACTGTTCCTTACCTCCCTATCCAAGATAATATAGGCAACATTCATACATTATCCACACTGCTTCTAGATTTCTACCAAAGGAGGGGCTTTGCTGAATGTATAGACAGTACTGGACTACCAAAACATCTCTTGTTTTGGAGTACAGACATAAAGGAGTTGGTCTGCAACTCAAATCCAAGCTTTAAAGGATGTCTAAGCAACTGTTTCAAAAAGATTTCTACCTCTGGGACAGAAGTTATATAGACCTTTGGTGAAATCCAGTTATAACCCACCTGCTTGTCTCATTCAGAGAGGCAAGAGGCAAGGTCTTTTTTTCCTCCTCCTCTAAATAAGTAAACATGATTTCTAAACCAAGAGGAACTTTATAGTGGGTTAAATGGTGCCCTCGCGCACATCCAAAGATATATCCATGTCCTAACTCCCAGAACTTGCAAATGTGACCTTATTTTGAAAAAGGAGTTTTGCAGATATGACTGGGTTAAAGATCTTGAGATGAGATCATCCTGGCTTTAGGGTAGGTGACTGAATATGCCAATGGACAATGGCCAGACCATATGTAAAAACAGAACTCTGACCCATAACCTCCAGCAAGCAACCCAGGAGACCAACCCATTATCTACAGTAACCAGTCCAGGAAGTCTATAAATTAGACTTGTAGAAAGTCATATCAGTATCACTAATAACAATCCTAGGAGACAAACTATAACAATCGGCCCAAATGACCAGTACTGGATTAATAACTGGCATCTTCCCTAACTTTTGTCCCCATTTCCAAGTTGAGACTAACAAGAAGAAGCCACAGAATGCTCCACTTCTAGTTGGCCTGCCTGCAGCTTCCTCATGCCGAGAGCCTCTAATTAGGGCATGCCCACTCCTCTGCTTGCCTTTGGCTCTGCTAAAATGCAGGAGATCGTGGCTCCCTCCCTTACAAGGCCTGAATAAATAGCCTTTGTTTGTTCTCATTTGATTGATCTTCATTGATTTCTACACAAGAATCCTTACAAGAGAAAGGTAGAGGGCTATTTGAGACTCAGACCCACATAGAAGACCATTTGATGATGGAGGCATGGAGCTCCAAGTCACTGAGGCCCCTAGGCAAAGAACACCTGAAGTCACCAGACAACAGAAGACGTCAGTGAACAGAAGAGGTAAGTGCTGTCAACACCTCAGTTTCATTATCTGGCCTCTATAACTGTGAGAGAACAAGTTTTTGTTGTTTTTAGTCACCCAGTTAGTGCCAATTTGTTATGGTAGCCCTAGGAAATGAACAGAAGCTTTTAGCAAGGAAATTTGCATCTGCTACACGGCCTTTTCTGGACAGATCCATAAACCTTAGTGTAAATGGCTTAAAAATGACTGTTTTGTTTTTTAAAATCATACTTGTTCTCATGAGAAGATTTACATAGCATTATAAAAATGTCTAGGAAGTTCTTCAGTAGTTTCCCATAATAGCCAGGCACCATCTCTGCCCTCAAAACACTCTAGGTAGAAAGACACATAGTCAATTAAAATGGAGAGGTACAGTAGCTGATGTCTTAGCCTGTCTACACATAACCTCTAACCAGTTAACTCACTCTATTTCCTTTGTAAGTCATAAGTGACTAATTCCCATATCATGCTAGGAAACTGTTATCTAGTAAATCTGCCCATTTCTGGTCCTATCAATTGACTAGTTCAATCTTATGACTTACTTGTGTTTGCAAATCTGTTTTTGCCAGTTGTACGTGATATTGTGCTTTTGTAACTTTACATTGTATAAACCAATGAAAGAGTGTGAAAATTGTTTCTTTAAAAATCTATGTTTAATATTTTGGAAAGACCCAACAAAGGTATGTGAGATTAACTGTAAAAGATTATAAAGTATAGTGGTGGCTCACGCCTGTAATCCCAGCACTTTGGGAGGCTGAGGTGGGTGGATCACGAGGTCAGGAGTTCGAGACCATCCTGGCCAACATGGTGAAACTCTATCTCTACTAAAAATACAAAAATTAGCCGGGCGTGGTGGTGCATGCCCGTAATCCTAGCTACTCAGGAGGCTAAGGCAGGAGAATCACTTGAACCCGGCGGAGGTTGCAGTGAGCCAAGATCGCACCACTGTACTCCAGCCTGGTGACAGAGCGACACTCCATCTCAAAAAAAAAAAAAAAAAAAAATTATAAAGTATAAATCTGCTCTCAGATTGCTTCACAAGTACCTTTAAGTTATTTTCCCCTTAAAAGAACAAAATCTTGGGAAATCTTAGCTGATGGTTTATGGGTACGGTTTATGCAAGAGATAGCATGCAGAATTCCAATCAGTAGACTACATGCAAAGAAAAGGTCTTGGACCTTCTCAGTAGATTGGCAAATGAACACACAGTTGTTTTAGGTTAGAATACAGTTTAAGGTATTTGCTATACTTTTTCATGACTCTGTGGTTTAACTGACCTTTTTTCTTTTAAAAAAGCTTCTTTTAGATATAATTTACATACCACAAAGTTCATCCTTATAAAGTGTGCAATTCAATATTTAACCATTTTTTCCACTTATTGCTTGGCTAGGGGCCCAGACTACATCTATGAGAGGGCTTCTTATATATGAACAACATGTAAAGAAGCTATTAATTTTGCTTGATGAGGGATGGGGATTCAGGGAAGATTATGTTTGAGCTTGAAGAGCCTTGAACAAAAAGTAGCAGTTAGGCATATAAAGAGGAGGGTATTTTGCTAAGTAGAGGAATTGCAAATGTAAAGAATGAAATCATGTGGCCTCTAAAGAACAGCTTTTATTTGAGTGGCTTGGGAATAGGGCGTTTTTATTTTTTCAGACTTAATTATGCATCTGAATCATACATAGAGATTAAAACTAAACAAAAAAAGCAAAACATGTTCAGGCCTGACTCCTAGAGATTATGATTCAACGTATATCTGGGGTGGAGTCTCTACATTAATTATTATTTTTTTTTAAGTTGCCTTGCAGTTCTGATTTGCAGTCAAGACTGAGAACCACTGGAGTAGCATAGAGTGAAAATGGGATGAGGAAGTGTTAGGACATGACGCTAGGACCAGATGGTGAAAGGAAATGGTATGCAAATACAATATAACAAACTCTCTCTTCCCTGACAACTTCATTCTTTTGAAATATTTTCTTTTTCATTTTTTTTACTGCCACTACTGTTGCATGAAAGAATACGAATCCCACCATTGTAAAAACAGAGATAAATGTTTAAAACCTTTGTAACTAAAAGACCTCTATTTTGCTTGAGGTATTAAGCTGGTGCAAAAGTAATTGTGGTCTTTGTCAATGGCAAAACCCGCAATTACATTTGCACCAACCTAATGATATTTAACATAGACTCAAGGCAGAGTGCACCTTCTGATTTCGTGTACCATCTACCGCTTGGGGTTCTTAACAAATGACCAAAGAAAACACGAATTTTGACAAAACTGGTGCTAGGGCTATTGAAGGGTGGGTTCCTATTCCGGGTTAGTGCTCCCATTCTCTAGTCAAGCACAAGAACATGCCTACTCCAGAGGGCTCTTCCAAACCCCCAGCTGAGATTATGAGACAAAAGGTTCTTTAGCGCCTACCAAATGAGCAACAGTAAATGTAAAAAGGACCTCTCGTTTCATTATAACCAGTTCCTCAGGAAGCACCATTTCTCTTACTCTTGGAAGGTCGGATATTTTCTCCCTTTGGCATACACTGGCTTTCCATGTCCTAACTGCTATTTTCAAATAAATGAACGTTATATTCTTGGAGGACAGCTCAGGGATGCTAAACTGCACCTTTATCATGATTTTAGTTAGGGATGAGGGCCTTTTACTTAAGTCCTGCTAGTGGCACATATTTTAAAAGGCCATAGAGGTCATCCATGTTGTCAACACAAGTGAAGGCGATCGAAAGAGTGTTGGTCAACAAGAATCAGCACAAAGGCACTGGAGGAGAGACAACAGCTTGTTTCTGGAAACAAACGAACAACAAAAAAACACTAAAAACATCTCCTCGAGAGGCCCCCTGACTTGAGCCCTGCATGGGACAAGCTGCCAAGAGCTAACATGACAAGGGACTGGTCCCGGGCTGCGGTGAGGAAACCCAGCGTCCTGACAACGCTGCTGGGTCTCGAGGCGTCCCTGAGACCGGAAGCGCGGACTTCAGCTCTCTTGGGAAACGGCTTCCGTTAGCAGAAGGGAAACTGCGGTTTGGTCGCGAGGTGGCTCTGGTAGCCCCACCTCACGCGACCCGCCATTCCCACTGCCCCCTCAAGGTGCCCTCCGTCCCGCTCTCTAACCGGGCCCTTAGTTCCCCTCCCCGTGCCCTCTGGAGACCTGCAGCTCCTGCCGCCCCGCGCCCGCTCCCGGGGTCGGTCGTTCCGCCGCCCCATCCCCCATGACGGAGCCCCTAGCTGCCTCCTCGCGACCCTTTCCGGACTCGGCCTGCCCACTCCCGCCCGCTAACCCGCCTGGCTCCGGGCCGAGGGCCCTCGCGGGACTCTGGTTCCTGTTCCTCTAACGCCGGCGGGGCTGCTGGGTGCCGGCTCGGCAGGCCGCCTAGACCCGGAACTGCTGAGGCAGCAGCGGGCTCGCGGCGCTTGGCTCATCCCGGGATTCCCCAGCGCTCGTGCTGGGCCTGCAGCGTCCGCACCAAGCACGCCGGGCGGCCCTGCCCAAGCTCCCTCCCGCCTCCCGGCAGCTGGCCCGCGGGGCCCCGGCCTTCAGGTTTCCCCTGGGATCCCGGGACCGGCAGGCGGGGAATCTGTGCGGCGGCGGCGAGGTGGGTGAGGTGAGGCGGGGCGAGGTGGGTGAGGTGAGGCGGGGCGGGTGTCGTCGCCGCTGGGCCGAGCTTACGACTCCAGTTGACCCGCTCGCGGCTGCCCAATTTCGTTGGGGCTCAGGACGAGGGTCGGGGCGGCAAATCGTCACAGAGGTCGCTGTAGACCTGTGTGCAACCGAAGGTGAAAAGCGGGAAGGCGCGGCCCGAATCGTCTCTGGTGCGCGTTGTCCGACAGGAAGTCCCGAATGGGCGGTGAGCGGCCGGTGGAGGTGCACGGGCAGGTGCAGAGCCACAGCCTGCGCCCCGTGAGCCAAGGCGGGCAGGAGGAACAGGGACCCGGGGGCGACACACGTTGGGTGGAAATTTCACAATGAACAGGGAAGGGGGACAGTCACCCACTCAAAACTGGCTAAATGAACCTCAGAGGGAGCCCCGAGCGATGGGGAGAGAAGGTTAGGGGAAGCGGCAGGAGACCCGCAGGATGGGGTGGGAGGGCTGGGCTGGAGGTGAGCAAAGCTGGATGGGGAGAATGAATTAAGAAAGTTGCGAGGAAGCCTGTCTCGTCCAAATCACTATAGCTTTTGTGGTCATTGCTAAGTGTGGAGTACTGCGCAAATCCTCAGGGGAACTCTCATTAGCCATCTCAGCTTTTATCATCTTAAAAGGCGAATTTCGCGTGCAGCTCCATTTAGCTTCGTGAACTTAAGCCCCTGCATATGAAAGGATGAGACCTAATATGACAGTCATGTCAGGACTAATGATACATCACACAGGTTGACAACCTGCAATTTAAAAACAGGACTTTGTCTAAACTCAGCAAGTAATTCCTTACTTAGAAGTTCTATGTAAACAAAACAGAGGAACTGTTGTGCTGCTGGAAAGATGTACCAGGATTTTCACAAAACGAATTAAAAGATGGCTTTGCTTTCACTGTCATGGTTCTCTTGTGACAGAGTACACTGGCTTTTCTGGGAGGGGCCTAGATTTACTATTTTAGTTACATTTTAAAATCAATGTAATTATTTTTTAATCTACCACAAATTTCTGTCGTAACTATAAGATGATTTATATAATTTTATATTCTTATACTAATTTTTATTTGCAGGTGATTTGGCACAAAAGTATTCTTTCAAGGATGGCAGAAGCAGTTTTGATTGATCTTTTTGATTTGAAATTGAACTCTCAAAAAAACTGCCATCAGACATTACTGAAGACTTTGAATGCTGTCCAGTACCACCATGCCGCCAAGGCCAAGTTTCTTTGTATAATGTGTTGCAGTAACATCAGCTATGAAAGGGATGGAGAACAAGATAATTGTGAATTAGAAACAGGCAATGGATTATCAGCTCTCTTGAAAGAATTTGAGATTGTTAGCTGTCCCAGCATGGCTGCCTGTTTATATACCATTAAACAGAAAATTGATGAAAGAAATCTGAGCAGCATTAAGGTAATTGTACCCAGGCACAGGAAGGCATTAATGAAAGCTTTTATTGATCAACTCTTCACTGATGTTTACAATTTCGAATTTGAAGATTTGCAAGTGACTTTGAGGGGAGGCCTTTTTAAACAGTCCATTGAAATAAACATAATCACAGCTCAAGAACTAAGAGAAATTCAGAATGAAATAGAAACATTTTTGAGAAGTCTGCCAGCACTGAGAGGAGAATTAACTATTATCACTTCTCCTTTGATCCCAGGTATATTAACCACTAACTGTTGTTTTTACTTTGTACATGAAAAACCAATCTTTCTTCAGAGGTAGTTCACCTCTTTTTTTCCTCCTTTTGTTGACTGTTGTGGGCTTATTACTCATTAGCATCAGTGGCAACACAGAGCTATCATGTATGACCCTATAGTATCAGGGTCAAGGGATAACACCTTCAAAGCCACCCCAAATAAATAAATTTGCTTTATGAAAATTTGATGTTGAGACAAATAATCTAGCCCTCCTTTGCAATGAGATTTATGACACTTAAAATCTTCTATTTAGAAATTCTGAAATTTCAAATCATTGGCACCTTCATAGAAGAGTAAAATTTAAAACAATCAATCTTGCTTCTTGGTTAAACAATATTTTCTGTGAGCTATATGCTGTTAGATATAACAAAGCCAGATGAGACACAAGATACCTTTTGAAGAGCAACGATCTCATAGGGAGTGTAAAATAAACACAAAGCAGAACGCCATAAGAACCTATGGAGGTACAAAATGCCATAGAAATTAGAAGCCAAATAACAAGGGCAGGTAGCAGTGATCAGGGAAGGTCTAATTGAGAGACTGGTATTTTGAATAGCGTCTTTTAAATCTTCACTGCTTATCTTCAACAGATATTTTCATACATGGATTTACTACAAGAACAGGTGGAATATCTTATATACCAACTCTTAGCTCATTCAATCTCTTCAGTAGTTCCAAACGGAGAGATCCCAAGGCAGTGGTTCAAGAAAATCTGCGTAGGTTGGCGAATGCTGCAGGATTTAATATGGAGAAATTTTACCGAATAAAGGTAAAACTTTGCTTTATATTTTGAAAGATCTAAAGTATATTTTTTACTTTACTACTAACTACATGGACTTTAAGCTATTTAACTTTTGTATCTGCTTTTTCATCCAAAGTTTTAGAATAATGCTGTGGTTGTTTTTCTTAGATTTATACACCATAGCCTAAAGATCAGTTCTATTTTATACACACACACACACACACACACACACACACAGGCATATATATGCACACACACACACAGAGTAAGTCATCCTTTAATGTTGACGGGTTCTTGGAAATTGTGACTTTAAGCGAAACGACATAATAAAACCAATTTTACCATAGGCTAATTGATATAAATAAGAATAAAGTTTCTAAGGCATATTTCTTGTCACAAAAACATCACCAAACTTCTAAATAAAGACCAACACATTCCTAATATTAAATATTGAAATAAATATGAGCTAGACATACATTTACAAAAGAGTAATAAAAACAAATTAAGATAACTATCAAATTGTTTTGGTTCAGGGCTTCAGGTAGCTGGAGTCTATCCTGGCAGATCAGGATCCAAGGTCATAACCCACCCTTGACAGGACGCCATTCCATTGCAGGGTGCTTTTACACACACACACGTACTCCTACTGGGACCAGGTAGACACCCCAATTCATCTCATATACACTTCTTTGGGATGTGGGAGGAAACTGGGTTACCCAGAGAAAACCCACGCAGACATGAGGAGAAGGTGCAAACCTCACACAGTCAGTGACAGGGTGGGTAGTCAATTTTTTTCATTAACATTATAATGAAATGATGTGGAATAAAATGACATTATTCAAGAGCCTACTGTATATTTCATCTGGAGTCCTCAATTCTAAAAGTACAGTTAATTCTCAGAGAGTATACTACCACTGCCCTTTTTGATTTGAAGAAAGGAACTGCATGGTGGTAGAGAAAGGCCATTATTTTATAAATCTACTCCAGGAGGAACTAGGGTCATAGTTGATGAGATAATGTCTTGTTCCTTACAGAATTCTAGCTTTACTTGAGTCTGGGAAAAGTAAAAGTATCATTGATTTGGTAATTAACTTTCTTTTACAGGAAAAATTTTCATTTTGTAGAAAGTGCATTAAGAAGTGTTATACGTATCTTTATGGAAAGATGTTCATTATTCACTATATTGAATTTTATAACGTTAAACTGTGCTTTTCTTTGTATAAACTATCAGAGAGTATAATACCAAAAGCTTAAATAGTTAAATTATAAGTAAATTTTGTGTTTTCCCATATACAAAAGTGATATATTTAATGAATGCTAGTAATCTTAAACTGGTTATATAATTTTATACTGTAATGAATACCTTCAGGAAAGCTTATGGTATGAGAAATCCCACTTCCAAAACATTTTTGTTGCACATTTTTGGTATTAGACTCATCATTCCAATGATATCTGGATTATGGGAAGAAAGGAGCCTGATTCTTATGATGGAATAACCACAAATCAGAGAGGAGTCACAATAGCAGCTCTTGGTGCTGACTGTATACCAATAGTTTTTGCAGATCCAGTCAAAAAAGCATGTGGGGTTGCTCATGCTGGTAAGTATACTTAATTAAACATTTAGGATTTTGCTCATTTTATTGTGCAGGAAAAATTGTAATTTCTTTCTGATAGACATGGCAAACAGTTAATTACATTACACTGTGGTAAATGTAATGATGGGAGGGGGCGGCATAGTTTTATTATAGGGACGGCTAAGAGGAGTATCCACATCAAATTATATGAATTGTAGTAGAATTCCCAAAGGAGGTTGCACCTAGGTTGATTCCTAAGGAATTTGTTGGTTTTGGCTTAGTAACAGTGTTCCTCAGTAAGGGTGCTATTAACATTTTGGTGAAGATAATACCATATTGCAGATTAAGTGTCTTTAGCCCCTGAAATTCTTAATGACAGTAGCACCTCTAGTTCCTGTAATAACCAAAACCAACCAACCAACCAAACAACAATGAAACCCTCCAAGCTTTTCAAAACACTCCCTAGGGGAGTGGTACTGCCTTTGGTTGAGAATCCTTGAAAATCAGGCCATAGGAAATGGGAATGTTAGGCATGTTTCAGAAAAGTATTCACCCAGATGGAGCTGCATGTGTAAAGCTAGGGAGGTAGGAAAAAGCAAGATGTTTTGAAAACTGTTTTTAGTTTAAATCATTTAATGTATTTAACTGCAACTATTCTCTGAGAGCAAAGAAGTATTTTTAGAAGGTATATTGTGTTAAAGATATGGAGTTTTGTTTTCTGAAGGTATTTTAAAATGGTATTTTAGATTATCCCATAGCTGTGATTTTGTGTGAAATAAGGGATGATGTTTAAAATTTCCTTCACTTGTAAATCTATTTCTACTTTGCTTTTTAGCTCATAGGTAAAATAGAAAGTAGCATATTTTTATTTTGACCTAGCTGAAATAATGGGATTGAATGAGTAGAAGTCAGGTTTACTACATGAAATTGTCAAAAAGTTATTTAAAATTTGAATCTTGGCTCCTGGATATAAAAAGAGGATATTATTTTTTTACTTCTTAGGTTTGAAAACATTTAGTTTAAAAATATCCAAGATCAAGCAGTCAAAATGAAGTTATAAATGTGAATGTCAAGTCATTAATAAGTTAATTTTGAAAGAATAAAATACCTAGGAATACAGCTGCCTTAACCAAGGAGGTTAAAGATCTCTACAATAAGAATTACAAAAACACTGCTGAAAGAAAACAGAGATAATGTAAACAAATGGAAAAACATTCCATGCTCATAGATAGGAAGAATCAATATTGTTAAAATGGCCACACTGCCCAAAGTAATTTATAGATTCAATACTATTCCTATCAAACTACCAATATCATTTTTCACAAATTTAGAAAAAACTATTTTAAAATTCATATGGAACAAAAAAAGAGCCCAAATAGCCAAAGCTATCCTAAGCAAAAAGAATAAAGCTGGAGGAGTCACATTGCTCCCTTCAAGCTGTACTACAAGGCTACAATTACCAAAACAGCATGGTGCTGGTACCAAAACTGACACACAGGCCAATGGAACAAGATAGAGAACCTAGAAATAAAGCCACATACCTATAACCATCTGATCTTTGACAAAGTCGACAATAACAAGCAATGAGGAAAGGATTCCCTATTTGATAAATGTTGCTGGGATAACTGGCTAGCCATATGCAGGAGATTGATACTAGACCCCTTCCTTTCACCATATACAAAAACCAACTCAACATGGATTAAAGACTTAAACATATAGCCTAAAACTATTAAAACCCTAGGAGAAAACCTAGGAAATACCATTCTGGACATAGGCATAGGCCTTGGCAAAGATTTCATGGTGAAGACTTCAAGAGCAAACAAAAACAAAAATAGACAAGTGGGATTCAGTTAAACTAAGGAACTTCTGCACAGCAAAGAAACTATCAACAGAGTAAACAGAAAACCTATAGAATTGGAGAAAATATTTGCAAACTATGCAACTGAAAAGGTCTAATACCAAGAATCTATAAGGAACTTAAATCAACAAGCAAATAACAAATAATACCATTAAAAAATGGGCAAAGGACATGAACAAACGCTTCTCAAAAGAAGACATACACGTGGTCAACAAGCATATGAAAAAATGCTTGATATCACTAATCATTAGAGAAATGCAAATCAAAACTACAATGAGATACCATTTCAGACCAGTCAGAATGGCTGCTATAAAAAAAAAGGTCAAAAAATAACATGTTGGTGAGATTGTGGAGAAAAGGAAATGCTTACACACTGCTAGTGGGAATGTAAATTAGTTTAGCCACTGTGGAAAGCAGTTTGGATATTTCTCAAAGAACTTAAAATTAGAACTACCATTCAACCCAGCAATCCCATTACTGCGTATATACCCAAAGGAATATAAATTATTCTGCCATAAAGACACATGCACATGTATGTTCATCACAGCACTTTTCACAATAATGAAGATGTGGAATCAACTTAGATGCCCATCAGTGGTGGACTGGATAAAGAAAATATGGTACATATACATAATGGAATACCATGCAGCCATACAAAAGAATGAAATCATATCCTTACGGCAACATAGATGCAGCTGGAAGCCATCCTAAGTGAATTAATGCAGGAACAGAAAATCAGATACCATATGTATCTTTTAAGTGGGAGCTACACATTGAGTACACATGGACACAAAGAAAGGAACAGTGGACATGGGGGCTTGCTTAAGGGTGGTGGGTGGGAGGAAGGTGACGACTGAAGAACTGTCTGTTGGGTACTACGTCCACTACTTGGGTGATGAAATCGTTTGTACATGAAACCCCAGTGACATGCAATTTACCCATGTAACAAACCTGCATATATGTACCCCCGAACCTAAAAAGTTGGAAAAATAAAAATAAATTAACTTTAAAATATAATATAATTACATACATTGTAAACTTAGATATCAAAAAGAATAAAATTCTTCTATGGGACTACTTTAATAAAGATCTTTTAACCAGATATGTGTACATAGATATACATGTGCTGTAGGAGAAAAATCAAATAGAAAGGTGGTGGATGAACTACAAGTGAGAGGATAATTAAGGAGGCTCACTGAAGAAGAGAGCTACTCTCATCTGTAGAAAAGCCCTGACAATTTCTCTCTTTAACTCAAAATGCCTATATCTAGTTGCTTCCCTTTGAACATCACTGTCTGCATCTTCCTAGGTGCCTCAAAATCATTATGTCAAAAACTCAACATCTTTTTCCCTAAAGTCTTCTCTGCCAGTTAGGTTTCCTATTTTGATTATTGACATCCTACCCACTTACAGATAGAAACTTGATGTCTTCATTCTATTCTTCCCATAACCACATATCCAGTGGGTTACCTGTCAAGGCTGAACCTATCACCTAAGTACTTCTTGCTTTCATCATCTCCTTTTATCTGTAAAAAATGATCCCTTCACCTGAGTGCCTAGCTTTTGAAGGATATAAGTATGGAGTGCTTAAGGAAGGTGTAAGGGGAGTCATTATTGGCCAACCATATCAGCTGAATCAAACCCAGATATAGGGAATAAAGGAAAAATGCAATATTCTTAGCTTTCTGTCTTTGGCAACAAGAAGGTAGCAGAAGTAAAGAAGATGGTTTTATCTTAGAACACTGTAAGATGCAAGGCAGGTAAGACAGAGATGGCAAGGGAACGATAGACTGGGCAAGTGGGAAGGGAGTAAAAAGAGACTGTTAATTGAAATATAATAGGTTTTGGTGTAAAAAGTGAGGGAGAGATGAAAACTGCAAAACATTGCTGAAGGACATTAAAGAAGACACAAATAAATGGAGAGAAGTTCTGCGTTCATGGATTAGAAGTTAGAGAAATGCAAATGAAAACCACAATGAAATATCACCCCACATCCATTAGGATGGCTAATATTTTAAAACCTCAGAAAATAAGTGTTGTTGAGGATGTGGAGAAATTGGAACCCTGGTGCACTGGTGGTGGTAATGTGAAATTGTGTAGCCACTATGGAAAACAGTACGGCAATTTCTCAAACAATTATAAGTAGATTACCATATGATCCAGAAATTCCCCTTCTGGAAGTATATCCAAAATAATTGAAATCAGGAACTCAAAGAGATATGTGCACACCAATGTTGATAATACAATTATTTGCAATAGCCAAAAGTTGAAAGCAATCTAAGGTACATTGGTAGATGAATGGGTAAGCAAAATGTGGTGTGTGCATACAATGGAATATTATTTAGCTTTTAAAAGGCAGGGAATTCTGACACATACTACAGTATAGATGAACATTAAGGACATTATGCTAAGTGAAATCAGTCAGTCACAAAAAGATAAATACTGTATTGATTTCACTTATATGATATACCTACAATAATCAAATGTACAGGAACTGGAAGAAGAATGGTGATTGCCAGGGGCTGGTAAAAGGAAGAAACAAGGAGTTATTGTTAATAGTTGTAGAGTTTCCATTTTATCAGATGAAAAAATTCTGGAGATTGCTTATACAACAATGTGAATTCAACACTACTGAACTGTATACTTAGAATAGTAGATTTTGTGGTTTTTTAACCACAATCTTTTAAACTGTGAAAAATAGAGAAGACTAAGCTATGATCTCAGTGGAAACTAAAACTATAGAGCATCTTTAAATGGAAGATGAAGAAAACTCCCACTTTGTGTCTCTTCTGTGTCAGGTGCTTTGTGTAGTATAGCTCATTTAAAAACCACATGATAATATAATTAATCTTGTGGTTCCTTTATTATTTCTGAACTTTGAAAAATATACAAACTATATCTGCTCACTTTTAACTTAGACATAAATTCAGGTGAAATTTTGCTACATTTTGACTTTCCTTATCTCTTTTTATTCGTATTTACCAGGTTGGAAAGGTACTTTGTTGGGTGTTGCTATGGCTACAGTGAATGCTATGATAGCAGAATATGGCTGCAGTTTGGAAGACATTGTTGTTGTACTTGGACCTTCAGTAGGACCTTGCTGTTTTACTCTTCCAAGAGAATCAGCAGAGGCATTTCATAATCTTCATCCTGCATGTGTACAACTATTTGATTCACCAAATCCCTATATTGACATCCGTAAAGCCACAAGGTATGTCTGATTTCATTCAACTGCAAGTTTGATTCTTTCTTATTGCTCTAAAATGAAATTTATTTTAGAGAACAATTAGTAACTCTAAGAAGAATTTAGGTGGCGGTTATTTAAGCAGCTGACATGAACATGTACACAAACACTCATTTTAAATATGAAATCTGTTTTCATTTGAGTTTGAATAACAGAAATTTTTTTGTCTGGTATCTTTCATTGATTTGAAAGTGAAGGAAGAAACATCTGGCATTTAATTTTAAGACATCTACTTAAACTTCATATAGAAAAGTTGGCATGTACTTTACTTCACAGCCATTCCTCAGCTAAATTCTCCTAAATGTAATGAACTCTCAGGAAGCTGATATTTTAAAATTATTCTTATTATCTAATTAACTAGAGGAATATATTTTTTAGAAAAAATATTAGATAATATAAATACACAGGTTTTTACTTTCAAGTTTTTTACAGTTCTTTGCATTTTTGAATTTATGAAGTTTTGCTATTAATAACTGGTGAAAATTATTTGTCATTACTACAAAGGCAAATTAATGTGTGCTTTAAATCACATTTCTATTCCAGTCACCAAAACCTTACCCAGAGTCTGCCTCATTTAGTACAGACGTGGAAGAGATTGAAATTGATTCTTAAATGTGACTTTTTAAATCAAGTATCACTAATTTGTAGTCATATTTCATATCATAAAGTGTTCATGGAGAAGCAAGTTTTCTGAGAAAAATCTAGCTAATAGAAGGAAAGGACATGAAGGGCCAGATGACTAAAAAGCATACTCTGGCTGAGCCAGATGAATTTTGTCTGATATCCTGGTAACTTTCGTAGAGATTTCTTCTTAAATAAGCACTTGATTTTGATTATAAAATTCTGTACCTAGATTATGTCTATAGGACAATATGGAAGGTTGTACTGTGCCTATATGAACTTACGTGATAAATGCTGATACAGTGTAGCATTTTTTTCCTGACTAGTCCATGTTCTGTAATTGAATAACAATATACATTGTTCTAGGTACATCTTTCCTGGAACTCTTTCATGCCAACATCCGTATTTTTTTTTCATATTGCTTTGGCTATTGGGAAAATAAACTCTTGCTCTCTTTTGAAAAATATTTTTCCTAAGGATTCTTCTAGAACGGGGAGGAATTCTTCCACGGAATATTCAAGACCAGAACCAAGATCTCAACCTCTGTACATCTTGCCATCCTGACAAGTTTTTCTCCCATGTCCGAGATGGCCTTAATTTTGGTACACAAATTGGCTTCATATCAATTAGAGAATAAGGTACAGTAGATTTTCTCTCCTCTCTCCATTTTTCCTCTCTTTCATCCCTCTCTCCACCTCTCCCTCCCTTTCTCTTTCTTCCTCTTTTAGCTGTTTCTTCCCCTCATTTTAAAAAAATAGTTAATTATGTTTAACTTTACTCCTTTATTCCTACAGGAAGAATGATGTTTCTACTTTTTTAGTGATATAATAGTAGTAGCAAAATTCATTTTCAGTAACACTCTATTATAAAGAGCAGCCACTCCTTTTCCTAGTTAATGAAGAGTAATTAGCCAGGCTTATGTTAAAAGTATAAAAATAAAACAATTTAATCTTTAAAAAAGTATGTAAGTATTTCCTTTCTCTCTACTATGTACTTGCTATCTGTACATTCCTTATCCTAACATCCTTATAACTTTCATGTTATTTTCGAAAATAAATCTTTGCATAAAGACTCTAAATTCTAGAATAATAAGAAATTCTCACATACAAAGTAGCTTGATTTTCAACTAGATTTCCAAATGATTATCTGCAGTTGGAGTTGGCCAAATTTTTGTTTTAAAATGACAGTAAATAGTTTAGACTTTGTGGGACATACAGTATATGTCTCAGCTACTCAACTTCACCATTGTAGAGGTAGAGCAACAAGAGATACTGATAATATAGAAATGAATGAATATGTCTGTGTTCCAATAAAACTTTGTTTACAAAAATCAGGTGAGGGAGCCAGGCACAGTGGCCCTGCTCCTGTAGTCCCAGCTCCTCAGGAGGCTGAGGTGGGAGGACTGCTTTAGGCCAGGAGTTTGAGTACAGCATGGATAACATAAACCCTGTCTCTAAAGAATAAAATAAACAGGTAAAGGGCCAGATTTGGCCTATCGGCTATAGTTTGCTGACACATGATCTAAAGTCATAGAGCAAGACTGAGTGTAATTTTCTTAAAATAGTATTTATTAGAGGTGGTTTTGTTGGAATTATACAAAAATATTTCATGGCACTGATTTAGCACCGCCCCCTTAGGACATATGTAATTTTCCCTAAGGTTACTTCTAGCTGAATTAATATCATTTTTTACTCTTTACAATGTTTTTAGCTCTTTAACTTACAGAAAAACTTTAATAGACTTCACGACTGTAAGGGCCTCATATTTGATTTCTATGTATTTTACAGATACTTGACTGGATTTTTGTATAACTGTTTCCTGCCTCCTTCCAAACTGACTGCAAGAGAGAAATTTAGCTGTTTGATCTACTTAAAACCAAATGGATTACAATGGGTAATTCATCTTTAGGGTATATTTTTACTATTATTCAAAGTCAAATGATTTTCATTTAATTATAATAATAACTGACAAAAATCAGTATGTTGTAGCTAATATGTTTTATGCATGACAATTATTCTTAAAGTTTGTTCTTCCTGTTTATTACACAGATCAGGAATAGATTTGTTCAGTTCAGTATTTATTGAATACCCTCTATTGGTCAGGCATTGTGTTAAGCATAGGTGAACAGAAATGAACACGACTTTTTTCCTTTGAGTCTAATACAATGAAGGAGATAAACACTTCTGCAACTTAATTTTAATAGCAGTAGAAGAGAACATAAGGAATAGAGGTTAATTTTACCCAGAAGGCAGAGTAGAGAAAATATTACAAGAGAAAATCACATATCACATGGGCTCAAAAGATGTAGAGGTTTTTGACAAATGAAGAACAGCCATAACAGGTAGAGGGAACACCATGAACCAGGGCATGAAACTGAAAGTGCATAACATATTCTAGAGAGAAAAGGGTGTGGGCAGGAGTTAGGGCTGGAAAAACAGGTTGGAAACAGATAAGTAAGGGTCTCAACTGCAGTGTCAAAGAGCTTGCAGTTTATTTTCCAGGCAATGAGTAGGCAGCCAAAAAAAAAAAAAAAAAGTAACGATTTTTTTTCTCCCTCCCCCATGGCATCATGTTTAAGAGGACGAATTTAAATTGTGTGAGACCAAAGCATAGAGACTAGATAAGGGGTGGTCAAAATATTTCAAAAAGAAATAATGAAGATCCAATGAAGGAAGTGGAAATTAAAATAGAGAAGAGAGTAGATGGATTAGAGAGACATTTAAGAGATGGAATCAATAGATCCTGTTACTAGATAATGGAAGTAAGAGGTGAGGAAGAGTGGAAAAGTCATTAATGACTCTTAAGATTTCTGCTTGGCTGTTTACCAAGATTGGCAGCAAAGAGAGGGAAAAGGTTTGGGAAAAGAGAGGAGGATAATGAGTTTGACTTTACATAGAATGAAGGACATCCAGATAGAAATCTTTGGTTAATAATTAGAAATATAGACCTAGAAATTAGGAGGAAACCTGAGACAGAGACAGAGATTTCAAGGTTTACAGTACAGAGATGATGCTTGATTCTGTTGGAGCAAGTTGGATCATCTAGGCAGAAATTAGGATGAGAAAAAGGAGGTCCAAGAATATAACCTTACAAAACACCTGCATTTCAAGAATAAGAAGCTGAAGGAGTAAAAAAAATTAGTCACAGAAGTAAGAAAAAATAGGGTAGTTGTTTTGAAGAAGCCAGGATAGGTGTGGAAAGTACTCAAAAAGAAATCTTCAGGGATAAAATAAAGAGATAATTAAAAAGAAATAAGCAGATTAAGCGCATTGAAACTGTTCTATAGGCAGTGGTCATTGAGTCGGCTTTCAGTGCATTAGGAAGAAGATGCATAGGTGTCAACTCTTCTTTGACAGCATTTACTAGAGAAGAGAAAAAGCTGGGGAACTACATCTTGAAGGAAGGGACTTTTTTTGGATGAGTGGTTTTGAGTATGTTTGTCAGTTAAAGAGAGAACTTAAGTTAGTTTTCATTTGGGAGAAATTGTATATATATTTAATGTAAGTTACCACATTGCATCTTAAAAATTTTCTTATTTAATACATGTATTTCCTACATGTATGTGTGGTGGCATGACAGCAAATAACATTTGTTTGGTATTTCCAAAGGACTTTCATGTACATTAGCTCATTTTACCTTTACAGCTACTCTGAAATACACGGGCATTATCCCTTTTATTCAGCTGAGAAAACTGAGCTTCACTGAGGTGGAAGTCAAAAATCACATAATTTGTGATGAAGTCAGATTTGAGCATACGTTTTGTGACTCCAATTTTCCTCTCAGATTTTAAAATTAATTAAAGGGACCTTAATTATATTTTTATTTTTAATTTTTTGTTAACATAATTTATTCAGTGAAAATTTTGTTGAGGTACTGGGACAGGTTAAAAAACTACAATTGTAACCCTCAGGATATTTAATATCCAGTGAAAAGTGACAATCAGTAAACCAGCAATTTCAATACTTTGATATATGTTATGAGGTTGTGACAACTGATTCTTGTTTAGTTTAATTCTATATCTCCCTTAGCCCAGTGTTAAATTTAAATAAAATACCTCATTTTTTCCAATTCAGGGAAGGCACTAGGATAAAAATGTTGAACTCATCCAAAATATTATTTTGTTTAATGAAAATGATAAAGATTAAGGAATACTTACATGTATTGAGAAAGGTTAATAATTTTCTAGTTCTTCACTGTGCATTATTTTGTTTGAAGTTGGTAAATTTGGAGTATCCTGCAGACACATTTTGCTTTATGTACTACAACATTCTACAACCAAATGAAAATTATTTTGATTATCTGATTTTGGATTATCTCTGCCAAAGTATGTAATGAAAAGTTGTGTCCTTGCTGTTTTACTGAATGAAAAGTGCTGATTTAGTAACTCAGAACTATCAGGTTATTAAATAATCATCTTATTGCATCTACAAGATAGCTGTCACTCTCACACATTTGTATGTAGGTTTCTAGGACTTTTGGGGTACAACAACAAAGATTTCTAGTAAATTAAGTTTTGGGTTTGTTTTTAATTTTAAATTTATAAATAACAATGGTACCTCTTCATGGGATACATAATAATGTTTCTGTTCATATAATGTATAGTGATCTGACCAAGGTAATTAGCATATCTATCATCTCAAACATTTTTCTTTGCGTTATGAAGATTTAATTGTTCCTTCCAGCAATTTTCAAACTATATAATATACTATTGTTAACTATAGTTATCCTACAGTGGTATAGAACACTGGAACTTATTCCTCCTAAAGTTTTGTTTTTAATCTAAGCACTGCTACTAACTGCACATAGGAAATATTGATTGCTATTTTATTAATAAGGGGAATTAAGTTTGTAAATCAAATAAACATTAATGAAATACCTTTTTGGAAGTACTATCAAACTAAAACTTACTGGGCCATTTATCTAACTGTAATTTTAAATAGTGAAGAATAGCACAGTGGCCAAATATGCGGTACTCCAGTGCTTTATAAAACAAATGAGATGATCTTACCACTAGGAGGTAGTATTTCAACAAGTAACTCTACTCTTATTTCTTGGTATAAAGTTGAACCAATCTTAAACTCTGTATTTTCTTGTGGAATAAAAAGGGAGGGGAGGGTGCATTTGAAGTTAGTGAATGTATTGCTCTTACTTTAGGCATAACATGGTAGTTCAAGTAGATAAAAGCATTTAGGAACCCTCACCCACTTCTATCTCATTCCTACAGAATCTCCAGTAACTGCTTTTCTGTAAGTAGATTTTTGGGAGAAACTCAGAGAAGCTTATTCTGTGTAACATGGCAAAACAGAAATAATACCCAAATATTCAGCAGCTGGAAGGAAAGATAACAAGGACACATGAGTTATATGCTTTTATATCTCAAAGTGGGATTTGATATTTATTTTTATTTGATTGTCCTAGAGTTATACTTCCAATGTATCCATCTTACTTTTTGTGTGAACTCTTAGAGAATGCTACCAATCTATGAAAGTTCAGCACTTCAAAGAAAGCATTACTCAGTTATCTGTGTGTTATCGTGTTTGTATGCATGGGTCTTTGTGGATGTGCTAAATGGCAAACAAGAAATATATGTGTGTTAAATATGACATATAGCCTCTTTGCCCTAGCTAATATAAATCAACACACACATAACACATTGCATTCAGTGGAATCATAGATTTCTCCCTATAGATTTTTTAATAAATTATGCAATGAAGAATGGAAAACATGGTCCATATGCTTACTGGATGTGTTTCTGGGAACCCTGATCTAGGGCACATGCATTTTCATTGTAGGCAGTGTTTTTAAAGTTTACTTGTGATTTCAAAGATTGCCATAAGCAATGCATTGTTCTGTACTAGGTCATTGCTTAATGAAGGAAAAAGAAATCTGCCAGTACTGCTTTTTCCAGATTAACACATTTGGTTTGAACTCATAATGATTACATGTCAATTGTGTTGAGACAAACTTTTCATACTCTCCTTAGATGCATTTTTGTAGAGAAGGAAATGCTTACATCACATTCCCCATGCCCTTGTGCCAAGCACCTGAGGTGAGCTATGTCTCTGTATTTGGAGCAGACTTTTTGTTTTATTTAATTCTCAGAAGGTTGGGGTGTCCAGTTACTACATTTTGTTAAACAAAATTTCCAGCAGACACTAGCTAAAATACCACATTCCTTTCTAACCAAAACCAAAACAAAACAAAAGACAAAAAGAGGGAGTAAAGGGAGTACTCTTGTTTCATGAGAAACTGTAGAAAAGAGATTTGTTCATGGTAACAGTTGGGTTTTTAATGTCCTTCATTTTCTGAATTCTGCATCACATACTGCTTCAATTTACATCTCACCATGCTTTCCTGTTCCTTACATTTTTAAAGCACATGTTTTAAGGTTGTATTTTCTTATCCCTCCCATCAGCCTTGTTTTCATAGTTGATATTTCATATTCACAAGGTACCTTCATTCCTTTGGTTTTCTACTTTTCAATACATATCCAGATTTGGCTATAGAGTTGTCTGTTTGACATATCCTGTGTCCCCTCAAATACAACATCCTCCAAACTTAACTCATCATCTTCTCTCCAAAACCTGCTCCCATCCTGTCTTCTATCTCAGAGGATGAAATTGTTATTCATGCAGTTGCCCAGCCAGAAACCCTGGAGTGTCTCTGAATGCCTCCCTTTCCTTCTCCCCTTCCCTTCCCACACTACTGACTGTATATCTACCATCTGTTCCCATGACTCTTTCTCAACTGCCACAGACATGCAGGTCGTCATCTCTCACCTATATCATTAGAGCAGCCTTCTGACTAGTCTTTCCTTATTGAATCCCTTCTTACAGTATCATTATTGATTGTTTTAAAATGCAAATCTGGTCATATTACATCTCTCAAAAAAT